CACAGATCCTCTTCGGATTACTGCCTTACAGGTAGTATGTGGCAAAAGGTTCAGCGAGAGTTTGGAGGCTCTACAGGGCACACGTTTGACCTGATGTCGTTAGATTCCAACGTACAGAAGGACTTGTCTGGAAATAGTCTGCCTCACTTCACTCCAGTCTCTTCTCCAGGGTCTGCAGGTGTTAACTTCTTTGCTCAGGATCTAACAGCTTTTGGGTCTCTCATGCAATGCCCATATGTTTTTCCACCTCCGGTCTTGGTCGGTCCAGTCCTACGCTATCTACGGAGAATGAAACAAGCATGCACAATCGCGGTCCTGGACAGTTACCCTAAAAAATATTGGTGGCCTTTATTACATGGTCATGCAAACAAAGCAGTAAAAATGGCTTCTACAGGGGATGACCATGTACTTCTTGTACCTTCGAATCAGGGTTGGATCCCATGCCCAGGCGGAATCCCGGGAGACCTTTGGGTGTTCTCCGTTTTTTTTAGGCATATTTTATTGAACTTAGATTGATTTTCGTAGGAATCCTTTTTCTCGAGTGTACCACTAAAACCTTTCTTTTATATTCTCCGTTGTTTAGGAACTCCCTTTGGTGGCAAAACTATTCGTACCATCTGTTCGCTGTCCTGTTTGTAGCCGTGCCAATGATAGTGACTTCAGGTTTTGCCAGCACTGTGGCTACAAGAGAAAGATTTTTTCCTTAGTAAAGAAGAGTGACACATTAAAACTTGATCTTGATCTTGATTCTATAGATAAACGGTTGCAACAATTATTGAACTTTGATCAGGCCACCAGTTACTCGAGACAAAAGGATTCTCTACAGAACGAATTAGAAGCCTTTTTATCAGCCCTACCAGGACAAGTGTCTTTAGCTACTGTCTCTCCCTGGGATATATGCCGTTTTCTCACTTGTTAGGATAAGGATGGTCGAACGCAGATCCACCATAATGGGTGTAAATTTGTTGGGCAACGGGGTAAACAAACTTGTGGTTGTCCTCTCCGATTATCTTATAAAACCGTGGATTCATATATTGGAAAGCTAAGATCTATTTTTCATGCCATTGGGAGGGATGGTGAATGGGATAAAAGGCTGGGACTAGGCAATCCCGCAGCAGATAAGTCTGTAAAGGACTATATTCGTGTGGTGACTGCGGAGCAATTAAGGGCAAGGGTAACCCCTAAGCAGGCGACGCCTTTCTTTGTTGACAAACTTACCCAGCTTTCCCTTTTCTTGGAAAGGCGCCTGGCACAATCCTCTAATAAGCCGTTACAATGTTTCATTATCGCTCGGGACCAGGCCTACTTCAGAACCACTTTCTTCAGTAGTGATTGCCCTGGTGACCTGGGCCAAGTTAAGGTGGTTGAAATTTTGCACTTTCCCAATGATGATGGGTTTTTATTCAATCACGTGTGGGGGAAGACCCTAAGGGATGGTGACCAAAATGTTTTTGGAACTAGAAGAAATCCACAATCTGTTATTTGTCCCACTAGAGGTATTGGACACTATGTTGATATTGCTCGGGGAATGCAGGTTGACCTTACCCACGGTTTCTTATTCCGCCCAACAACACCTGATGGTGGAATATTAGATGCCCCCCTTACTTCAGCTACTGCAGAGGCCCGACTTAAATTATATTTAAATGAAATGGGCGAGAATGACGGAGAAACATTGCATGGGTTTAGATCAGGGTGCGCCATAACCTTAGCGCTGTCAGGGGCAGAATTAACAGAAATAATGGATCATGTTGGTTGGAACCGTAGTCACACTGCGTTGCATTACCTACAGCTAGCGAAAGTGCTGAAACCTTCTGGGGCTTCTGCTAAACTAGCCTCCAGCGAAGTGATGAATGTTAATAATACATGGACGGACATGAATGAACTGAAGGGCTTCCTTTGCGCTTTTCCATCTGTTAGCCCACAGAAGAGACCTTTATCAGACTGATAAGTAAGACTAGCTATGTAATAGACGTTTTTGTGATCTACCAACATACTGTCTTTTTTTTTAGTTTTGGGTAGGTTTGGGAATTGTAAGGTTTGGGAAAGGTTTTGGGATATTTATGGATAAGATTGATGGTGTTGTAAGTAAGAAGTAAAGGGAAAAGAGCTTGTCATGAAATTAAAGATGAACAGTATGGCGTGAGTGGCGCTGTGCAATATTATTTTCCATATCTTATTTCAACTGAGCATGAATAGAGTGTTATGAAATAGATCACTATTCATAACACTCCTAATGATATGCGAAACTGAAATACATTAAATTAACACATCCCTTGCGATTCAATGCACGCAGACATGTGCACAAGGGTGTTCTAAGGGTATAAATATTGAGTCGAAGCAGAATAACACTCCTTTCGTGCTTAGTCTGAGCCAGCAGAGCAGTGAAGGAAGGAACAGCCCACCCACCCACCCACCCGGACCAAATTCACGTGTGTCAAAACACTGCTACCCTAAGCCAAGCTGTTCCAGATTGGCTAAGACCGCTGTGCATTATTATTTCCCATATCTTATTTCAACTGAGCATGAATAGAGTGTTATGAAATAAATCACTGTTTAAACCTGGCAAAAAACTTTCAAATATAACCTTAAATTGTGGACAGTAAATGCAATCATCACGCACAAACTACAAATTATGAAGTTGGGTTGATTACATCATCATTTAATGGATTTCAACTCCTGATAGATTAAGAATTTCAACAAAGTTCTCAATGATATTTTAATTAATTGCTGCAAGTTTCTTGACGTAAAAAAAAGAACCCCTGCTTCTTTGCTGACAGCTTAAGGAAAATTATTTGACATTATCTTAAGTTCTTTACTATTACCACTCTGCAAAGTTTTAAACTCACAGTGTAACCTTGACCCTTACAAGTAAGATGATAGCTTCACAATGAATTGCAAATTTTTCAACAGTGGAAAATTGAGACGAGAACTTTATCTCCTCTAATAGAGTGAACATATTTCCAGATGGTAATTAATTTTGTCAATTACCGGTACTCCTCATTTTTGTGGAAGTCTATAGCCCAATAGAAAATAGACTGATACTGGTACTACTTAATTTTATCAGCTTTAAGCAGATATCCTAAACTTTTAACTATTAAACTTAAGACGATCATCTTCAAACATAAACACAAAACATTCAGCTTTAAGCTGAAACCCATTTCTTAAAACACATAAGAGCTCATGAAAATTTTTAATCACATTTAGCTTTTAAAATCTGTTAAAATTGAATGAGCAATTCACCTGAATGAGGCAATTTACTTGAAAAGCAACATGTTACGAATATTTAATGAAAGCTTATCTCCCAGGAAACTCTGTCTCAATATTGTTACCTACCAAATACAATGGCTAAGAATAACAACAAATCACAGTTACCTAAGCTGAATTTAATGTAATCCAATTAAATGAATAAAATTGAGTAATCATTGATTAATGATGGTTAATTAACTAGTGATAGAGATATTGAATTTCCTTTATAATCTAGTGCGTGGCCTAGCGTCTCATCTTTTGTCAGATCCGGAGACGAGGCGTAATCTCTTATTCCTTCACGTTCTTTTCTCCAAACTCTTTCGTTCCCAATGGCACTCTCCGCAGGCGCACGTCCAAAACGCCGCTCCAAGAAGGTGTCTGATCCAGATTTCGTGTACGATTTTCCAACGGACTCGCTGTTTCATGACGCTCTCATTCTGGAGCAGAGCAATCCCGTTGACCCCGTTCTCTTCGAACAGTCTACCAAGTCAGAAGCTAGATCGTCTAAATCAAAAACCAGACCAGTTACAGTACCTGGAGCTTCTTCACCGCCATTCGTTCCTGACGCCAATACCAATCCTTCTCTCTCATTCGACCAGCAGCTTCAGTTGATCAAACTACAAAAGGGAAAGTTGGAGCTGGAGGTGAAAGTACTTGCCATGAGCCGCCAGGAACGCCCTCTCGAAAATTCGTTTGCAGATCTCTCCACGCAAGACGCCAGAGATGCTATTGCGCCAGGACGCACCAAGCGCAACATCGACTGGCCACAGGATTTTGTTCCGTCCATTCAAGGTGAATATGTTAAGTTAGAACTGCCCGAGTTTGTTTCGGGTTTCTTGATTATGATCAAAACCTATGATTCTTCGCTAAAGGATGCCATGTTAGCTCATCTCGAGTTACTACTCACTAAAGCAATTAGTTATTCGTGGATTAGCGTTCGTGGTTTTCATAAATTTATCGCCAAACAGGTCGAACGGCGTCGTTTGGAATGGCAGGATTTTAAGTCTATCCAAGGTCAAGCCACAACCTTTTTTCGCCATTCAGATTTACGACAAACACGACAGCGAATTGACAACCCACGTCAACCCTCTAACAACGCATCCTCGGGTGATCGTCAACAGGCGGTTCCACCCACAGTTAAAAAAGCTTGCAAAACCTGGAATTACACTGGCTCTTGTGATTGCAATCCGCAAGATGAAGTTAATTACAAAGAACATCACCGCTGTCGAGTGTGCAAGGCGGATCACCCGATGCTTCATTGCTCAAAACGTCGCACACCAATCCCACCCCAATGACAACTAGGCCAAGTAATTCCAGACGAAATTTCCTCAGCGACCTCTTTGACCCGGAACGGAAACGGACATGAACATTTTAAAAATTCAGCAGTTGTTCGACATTTAATTGCTTCTTGTCGCCAGCAGCCAAATGCCTTCGGTGCCAAGGTTTTGGTTCCTACTTCGCTCTTGCTTTCGAACTGGAGAACACTGCTTTCCAATTATCATCATAACATTGTGATCGATTTACTTTCGTACGGTTGGCCTGTTAATTATACAGCACACACTCCTCCTGTTTCATCATTGCATAATTATCCATCTGCTACGAACTTTGATTCGCATGTGCAAACCTATCTTGACACTGAATTATCTTGGAATGCTATAGCCGGACCCTTCGATCATCCTCCATTTCCAGACGATTTCGTATCCTCGCCTCTTCAAACAGTGCCCAAACGTGGTACCTTGACGCGGCGCGTGGTTATGGACTTGAGTTTCCCTCACAGCTCCTCAGTCAACAATGGCATTTCTCAAGACACCTATCTGGGCAAGCATTTTAAGCTACGTTTGCCTGGCATTGATCGCCTCGTTGAATTCATTCTCGAGAAAGGTCGTAACTGTCTCATTTTCAAGAAGGACTTGCGTCGGGCTTATCGACAGTTTCCTGTAGACCCCAAGGACTATAATTTACTGGGCTTTTGTTATAAGGGTAAATTTTATTTTGACACTCGTTGTCCTTTCGGTTTGCGTTCGTCAGCTATGATTTGCCAACGCACGACAAAGGCGGTCATCCATATCTTCACTGAGCAGGGGTTTTTCGCAGACGTTTATCTTGACGATTTTTACGGCGCGGAATATCCATCTCTTGCAGCCCAGGCCTTTTCCTGTCTCGGTCAGCTACTCCAACATCTTGGCTTAGATTCTTCTCCTGAGAAGGACTCGCCTCCTTCAACGTCCATGATTTGTCTTGGTCTTCTTGTTGACACTGCAGCGTTCACCCTCGAGGTTCCTCCTTCACGTCTTGACGATTTACAGGCCGAACTCAAACTTTGGCAATCCTCTACCTGTTTTACTAAGAAACAACTTCAGTCCCTCCTAGGGAAGCTCTCTTTTGTTACCGCTTGCGTTAAGCCCGGTAGAATCTTCATGGCTCGACTCCTAAATAGTCTTCGTGAGTGCACGCAGCCAGCCCGTCACCGATACCCCATTTCTGCTTCTGTGCTCTCAGATATTCAGTGGTGGCTCGATTTTCTTCCCCGGTTTAATCGTGTATCGCTCATCAAGCCTTCCTCCTGGGACTTTGAGAGCCTTAACTTCTTGACTGACGCCTGCCTTTCTGGAGGTGGCGCTACTTGTCAAACGGAGTGCATTAGCTTTGTTTTTCCTGATTGTATTTCTCCTGACAATCTTCATATCAACGCGCTGGAACTTTTCACGATCATTGTTTCACTCAAGCACTGGGCTCCTCAGTTACGCGGACGCAAATTCATCATTGCCTGTGATAACTCCGCTGCGGTGACCGTTATCAATTCTACAAGATCCAAGGATCCTTTCATGCAGCGCTGTCTGCGACAACTTTGGTTCACCGCTGCTCTTTTCGATTTTGAAGTTCGAGCATTACACGTTCCTGGAAAACACAATCAATTCGCGGACTGTCTCAGCCGTTGGCATTCCGATGCTTCAGCTCGCGATACTTATTATCGTCTGTGTAGTGACTTTGATCAGATTTTTCATTATCAAGATATTGACTCTGCTTGTTTTTCTTTCAACGTTGCGTGACAATATTTTCTTTTTTCTTTTGTAGACTTCAACAGGGGATCAGGTTCACATTTCCCTCCAGCCGTTTTGCTTGTCACCTTGGAGTCTTTTGTGTCGCGTCTTATCACAATGGCTCATGCCACGTCAACACAGAAAAACATTGCAGTTCATATCCGTAGTTACCAGATTTTTTGTGAACAGAGGGCTCTCCAGTCCTTTCCAATTAGTGTTAAATCTATAAGTTTGTATATCGCCTATTTAGTCATGCAAAAACGCGCTTCTGGTACTATTCTTAATCATCTTAGCAGCCTCAAACATGCTCATCAAATTGCCGGATACGAGCTCACCTGGAGTTCTAATTATCATTTTCAACTTTTGCTGAGGGGCACTAAACGTTTCTTAGGCCAGGCTGTCGCTCGAAAATATGCTATTACGCCTTCTATTTTGCACGCCGCATTTGACCATTTCAATCTCTCACTTCCGCTGCACGCAGCTATGTGGGCTTTGTTTCTAGTTGCATTTTTTACTTTTTTACGCAAATCCAATTTAGTACCAGACAACCTGCGGCGAATTTCTCCTAAGGTCATCACTAGGGCAAGTTTGGCTTTTACACCTGTGGGCGCTAACATCCATGTCTCCGCTACCAAGACCATTCAGTGTCAGCAACGTTCTCTAGATTTGCCCATCCCCAGGGTCCCTGGGTCTTGTCTTTGCCCCATTTTCGCTCTTCGTCGCCATTTATCCCTAAATCCCGGGCCAGTTTCGGCTCCCCTTTTTTCAGTTATATCAGGGTCTGGTCTACAGCCACTTACTTACAAGCAATTTTGCGCCTTTCTTTCTCGGGTTATTTCTAGTCTACAATTAGATCCCTCTAAATTTTCTCCTCATAGTTTTCGACGGGGCGGGGCTACTTTTGCCTTTGACTGTCATATTCCCTCGGAAATCATCAAATTGCAGGGCGATTGGCAAAGCGACGCATATCTCGTGTATCTAGAATTATCTCAGCAGCAGAAACAGCGCGTGGGTCAAGCTATGGCGGACAAGCTTCAGACTATGTTTCCAGAATAATGATTTATTAATAGATTTCCATTATTTTTTTTTTTCATTTATAACCTTTTCGTATTCCCCTCAATCACCTCACTCTCCTTTTTTCTACACTCCAGTTTGGGCACTTTGGCGTTCTTGTTTATTGTCCAGTATTTTGTCAGGCAGTTCTCGCACTGTGCAATAAACTCATTTTGCCCAAACTGTTGTGTCGTCTTGGTAACGCGGGTGATTGAGTAATCATTGATTAATGATGGTTAATTAACTAGTGATAGAGATATCGAATTTCCTTTATAATCTAGTGCGTGGCCTAGCGTCTCATCTTTTGTCAGATCCGGAGATGAGGCGTAATCTCTTCCCACCACTCCCACCCTTAAACAATGTATTTTTTATTAGTTTTTTCTTCTTAGTTGCGTTCTTGTTTATTGTCCAGTATTTTGTCAGGCAGTTCTCGCACTGTGCAATAAACTCATTTTGCCCAAACTGTTGTGTCGTCTTGGTAACGCGGGTGATTGAATTCACAGCTTGATCATATGAACATTCTGAGTTCAGAGACCTGTCTTTAACAATCCAGGGTTAACAGTCATTCATAGTCAATCTGTTACCATGCCAAAAGCCTGTTGTACATCAAACAATCTAGTATTCAAACTTAAAATAGTCGCCACAGCAGAAGCCATTGAGAACAACTTGAGATTGCAAGGGAATACGGCATCAGTAAGTCAATGGTTTGTTGCTGATGGAAAGACCAAGAAAACCTCTTCAATGGCGAAACACAACTGTCCCCAAAACATAAAACGATGGGCTGCTTTACACCAAAGTGTCCTGAGATGGATTAAAGACTGCTGGAATGGTTTTGTTAAGTCAAGGGGAGAATCATGTGAGAACCTTGTTTACATGTCTCTGGGAAAAGAACATTCTCATTGGTCAGTTTTTGATAATTGTCAAAACATTAGTATCATTGCTTATCTGTTCTACCTTTCTCCTTCATTTCAGGAATTGCTGTCAGTGGACTGATGTTGCATTAGAAGGCAAAAGAATTCTGCAATGATCCCACATTCAAAGCAACTGTAGGCTGGTACAAAAATTAAAAGTAGTGCCGTTCCATCACTCTCCAAACAAAGACCACCCTTGACCAGCATCTGCCGAACAATCTCAAAGGGCAAACAGTAAAATTCCACTGATTTGTAATGGCAGCTTCTCAGTACTGTGGATACCCTTTGCCCAGAATTTTCAATATGGGTGAGACACCAATGCAGTTTAAGATGCCACCTAACCATATTCTAAAATTCAGTGGCAGCCACACAGTTCCCATGAAATCCTACAGTGCAGAGAAGAGAAGCTTCACAGTCACGTTGGCAGTTGCTGCTGATGGCAAAAAGCTACCACCAAAAGTTACCTTCAAAGGCATACAAACCTTGGGAGACCTGGTTGTTTCAAACTCAGTTTGTGTTTCATTCCACAAAAAAGGATGGAGGGATGAAGCTAATAAGTTAGCAGTTTTGTGTTGTTCATTTGCTCTTTTAATTTACTGTTTTAAAGCTTTATTGATGTCTTTAAGTGATGTCTAATTGATTGTTGTATTCTTTCTTTCATTACAGGCGTGAAGGAGTGGATTTGTACCTGCATGCCAAGAAACCCTACTGGTGAGCGATCATTGTTGGTTTGGGACTCCTTTTGTGCCTATCTTACTGAGACAGTTAAAGAAGCATTGCAGCAGCAAAATATTGATGTAGCTGTTATTGCCAGTGGCCTAACCCCAGTTCTCCAGCCATTAGACAAGTGCCTAAACGAGCCCTTCAGAGAGAATATGAGAAGAAAGTAGCTGTTGTGGATGATAACAGGCCTCTTTAAGTTTACTCCTGATGGGAGAAAGTGCCGTCAAGACACCTTGTTCTACATTGGATGAAGCAGTCTTGGAGGGAGATCCCAGAGGAGATGGTGAGGAAATCATTTCTGACTAGCAGCATCTCAATGTGCTTAACAGCACCAAGGATGACACCATCTATGAAGAAGAGCCAGACATTCCCATCAAAGAAGATGAGATGGATGAAGAATTTGATACAGAGAGCAAAGATGAGCCATAAGCTGACATCCTTGATGATGCAGTTCACAACAAAAAACAAACAGCTCCTTTAGGAGCCACCACATTTAAAAGCTAGTGACCAATACCTCTTACTATTTGGTCTTTGTGTATTGCTTGGCTCGTAGGCAAACATACATGTATTTATCTTAGTTCCTAATTTTTGTGTCAGCTAAACTCTTGGCTATAGGCAGAAACCCCCTCTACAAGTCAGATTTCAATTCAAATTTGGCTAAACTTGTGTAAAAATTGCTCAGCTTATAGCCAATAAAATACAGTAATTGGAGTTATGGTGTTCAGTTGTGTATCCACTAGCTCCCCAACATTTTTGCTTTTCTTGGTTCTGCATCAGGCTTCAGGCACTGAAAAAAGCACAGAAATCAAGACCAGCAACAATTTATACCATGGCTTTGCTGCCCAAAGTGTTTCAGAGCAACACTCAACCATAAATCAATCCATTTTTCCTTGGATCAACAGCTGCCATTTTGTTACCTTACTACATGCAAAGGGTTTCTTCTCATCAAGACATCAATACTAGCCATATTCAACCAGCAGTTTTCTGCAGATTTGTCTAATCAATTTTGGAGGTATCTTTAAATTC